AAAAATCATATCCTTTCGCGATTACCACATGATTCGTAGGGCTAAGTTTTTGGGGCATGTTTTCTGAAGTAATAACGATAATCCATGAAGACAATTTCTTTGCCGCATTTTGCCACGAGAGTGGAATATGGAAAGAGAAGGTGCGGTCGCCCCAGCCAGAACTTGCTGCATACTACCAAAAAACGTGTTTATGAGCATACATTGGGCCATTTCAATTACGATGAGTTTATGTACGAAGACAATATGATGTATGCAGCTGCCCAAAGACGCGACTTTTTAATCGGCTCCGCTGCTGCGCCTACGCCTTGCACAATTTTTGACTGGACAGTCGTTGCAGGGTAGGGCTTGGGAAAAATACGTATACGTATTTGGATATGTATATGTTTATGTCTATGTATATGTATACGTATATGTATTTGTAGATCTATATGTAAGTGTATAAATATATGTATATGTATATGTATACGTATACGTATATGTATTTGTAGATGTATATGTAAGTGTATAAATATATGTATATGTCAATGTATATGTATACGTATATGTATATGTATATGTATATGTATATGTATACGTATATGTATACGTATATGTGTTGTATATGTTTATGTTGATGTTCATGTTTATGTTTATGACTTTGTTTATGTTTATGTGTATGTAAACGTATATGTATATTTATATAAATATCTATATGTATATGTATAGTATGTGTATGTGTATATGTATATGTCTATGTCTATGTCTATGTTTATGTCTTTGCTTATGTATATGTATATGTATATGTCTATGTCTATGTCTATGTTTATGTAGATGTAGATGTCGATGTGTATGTGTATGTGTATGTGTATGTGTTGTATGTGTATGTGTATGTATACGTATATGTATATTTATGTTTATGTGTATGTGTATATGTATCTGTATATGTATATGTATATGTATATGTATATGCACATGTATATGTTCATGTATATGTATATGTATATGGTACCCCCTCCCCATGAACCCCATATGTGGCCGAGGCCCTGGGCTCCTTGATTTGCAGAACAGCATGTTTCCCAATTTCCGGACTATGGTCCTTGAAGCCTTCCCGAATTCCAAATTTGCCGAACGGAGCCTTTACATGACCCATGGTCATTTCATGACCTGATTCTCCAGTATTCCAGGCTTGCAGATTTTTACATCCTTCCAAATTTACAAGTTCCAAAATTCGAGATTGCGAGGCTTCGGCATTTCCAGATTTTCAAATTGGAGTTCAACAAAAATTGGAGTTCCGGATATCCAAATCCATGAGATCTGGAATTTCGGAAAGCTGGAGTCTTGGAGAAAAGAATATGTCGTCCCGTTCCGGCTCGAGTTTTGGCCACGCGGGGGGTTGAGATGTTCAACCCCTTGTTGGTTTCCCACCGCCGCCGTCCCCGCCATTTCGGGATGTTAGCGTAGCTGTCCAGCCACCACTGCCAGGAGAGAAACGATGCTGGTCTGGGCACGCTGATAATGGTTGCGCTGCGAATCAAAGCTTGCAGCCGGCTGCCGCGTTGGGCAGGGTAGCAAACCTGACTAGGGACCTGCTGTGACTATTTTATGTTATTCTTGCTTAGCATTATTTTCAGTATTGTTGTTATGATTATTCTTCTGAATTATGATTGTTTGTGTTATTTGTTAGTATTGTTATGGTTGACGTTTCTGAACAAAATTCTGAGGACGCTCCAGACGCCAGCGTTCCGACCGGCCGAAGACAACGAAAAGGCCTTCACTTACACCCAGAACTTCGAGAGCGCTCCACACGCAAGCGTCGGGACTCGCCGGGAACACCGAGAGAGTCGTCGTCACTTACGCCCGAAAACGCCCCACACGCCACATCACGGCGCGCCACATTCACGGACAGGGTCATCACGCATGCCCAGAATTGACGCACCACGCGTCAGCATCACAACGCGCCGGGAACACCGAGAGGGTCGTCATGTATGCCCAGATTTCTGAGAACGCTTCACGTGCCAGCGTGTCTAGGGAAGGACTGACCGAGTCTTCCGTATATGTATTTTTCCCAAATTGGGACCGCATTCATGTCAGCTCTTGAGGTCGAGGATTGTCAGTTACCACTTGTTGACTCGAAGCATTTCGGTTTTCGAGCTTCAAGCCATCAGCGTGTTTGTAGCCATTGGAAGCCAGGTTGGACACAATGATAAGAAACAACGACGGGGCCCACAGCAGTTCAGCAGCACCACGCCAGAGAACAAGACTTCAACATTTCATGACGTTGCCCTTGCAATGCTTCGAATCAAAGTTTGGCGCACGTGCTGCGGCAAAGTTGCGGCAAGTGTTCAACGAAGAAGCTTGCAATTGTGTTGCATAAAAGAATCATGTTCGGTGGCGCCTGTTTTCTTCAATCAAACAGTGTATGCGTATGTGTAATTTTGGTGCAAAGCAAGGCGGTAATCAGTTCAACAAGATCAAATTCGATTATTTCTGGAAACTTGGCGAGAAGTCGCCGCAAGTGCATCCTTGCCAACCTTGTGAGGAACGAGATCCATCGGCGCCTTGCTTGCAGAGTTTTGCGTTATGCATGATATAGCGTCGCAGAAGCGGTGACACGTGTTCTGGGCAAGACCCGTAATTTTTCAAGAATATAATTCCGCGAGATGGCAGGCCATCAAACTTCCCATCATCCCTCGCATCACCTTGTTGAAAGGTTGCTGCATACATTGTGTGTGCTCCGTGCGTTTGCAGCTAAGGACGTCTTGCACATGATAGCCAAAATGGCTTTGTATGCCCCAGAAGTCTGGTATTCGATTGTCACAGGGCTGGAACGCCCTGATACGGCAAAAAACGACTGGCACAACATTGGTGTCGCGTTTGATGCGAGCTCCAGACTCCGGCGTGCTGGCATTGAGTTTTATCATGCCCGGCTATCTGAGAAATGGCTCAAAACTCAAGGTGGCACGTCTTTTGTGTGTCACCTTCAATGTGATGATGACGTGTGGAGGGAAGTGGTCACTAGCGACGAACTCCGTCGCCCCATTGCCACAGAGGTGCGTGTTGTGGCTGTAAGTGACACACACTTGCTGCACAACGGCTTGCAGATTCCTGCGGGTGACTTGTTGGTGCATGCTGGAGATCTCAGTTTTGAGGAATCGCGATCCAAAGACGCTCGTGATTTCAATGCAGCATGGAAAGACCTGAAGCATCGTGACTACGAAGATTTTCTGCGTTGGTTCCGATCATCAGGGCTAGAGCTGGCTCAAGCGCTGCACTGGCTGGGAAGCGTGTCATGTTTTGAGCATCGCGTCCTCGTTGGTGGAAACCATGATTATATCTTGGAACAGATTGGGGAGTCGCATGCACGAAAACTTTGCCGTGCGTTCAACATATGCTATCTTTGGACCGAGCGTGCGCCGCAACAACTGCAGTTCCGGAATGGCTGCAAGCTAAATGTTTGGGGCTGCTCTGCTCAAACGAACGCTTTGTGGGAAGCTTATGCGCATGTGGGTTTGCACGCGGCAGTTCTCTCGTTGATGTTTTTCACTTGTCACCAGTAACAGTTCGCATGGGTTATGCAAAGATGTAGAGTGGCTTTGTGTGAGATAGATCAGATGATAGGTAGCAATTGCAGGGTTGACCTTTGCATGTTTGAGAGTTACATTGACCTGCTAAGGTTCTGGAGTGTCAGCAGCATCTGGCCTGAGTGAGGCTCGTGCCGCACTTTCGGGAAATGTGGCCTTCCAGCTGGACATCGACACCGGCGAGCGTGTGTTTCAAGAAGAGACCATGTCTCTGTCAGCCAGCTCTGTAGATGTTATGGTCACTCACGGGCCCCCCTGCGACGCACTCCATGGCTTGCGTGGGAAAACTTTCCCCACGTGCATCAACAACTTGGTGGAAAGAGTGCGCCCACAACTTTTCGTTTGTGGCCATTCTCACAACCCTGACGACCTGCAGCCTAGCCGTAAGGTGGCAAAACTTGCAGACGGCGTTTTGGGGGTTCACGTGGCTTGCACGGGTGTCTGGAACCAACTCTACGGCATGCCGTTTGTGGTTGACTTGCCCGCCTCCAAATTCGCGAGGGCAGCAGACCTGCCCGAAAGATCAAGGAGCGAACTACTCTGTGCTGAAGGATGTCGCCAAGGCTGTACCGTGTCGTGAGTGAGGCTGGTGGCCGCTTGGTGCTGCACCATGTGACCACCAACCTCGCGTCTCACCGTGGGAAGTTACACATGCAACATTCATCGCAGAGAAAAGTTCCGATAGACATCGTAAATCCTGGCAATGCTTCGCCCATGTTTCCACAAACAAATGTAGATGTCGCGCATGGTGGCGGCAACTTGGTAGATGCTTCGGTTTGGAAGCTGAAGTTTTGCCGCAGCATGCGGTGAAGGTTCAAAGGTGCAGTCGTGCTGCTGTTGCTTGATGGTCATCCCCATAGAAGTTCAGATGGAGTTCGGCAACCAGCGTCGATGAGGAGCCACAGTTTCTGGAAGGGAGTTGTCAGTGGGGTTTTCAATTCAAACACACCTTGCCTCTGGCCCATTTCCTTCGACCCGGAGATGCCGGCTTGCTCACCAAGCAGTAAGTCCAGCTGCAGCTGAAATGATTCTTGTGAGGCCATTCTTTCTGCATATCTTGCTATTGCTATGAGCCTTGTGCCCAAGCTCTACATGCACAGGAGTTCTGCCTGCTGCTGCCGGGAGCAGCGGGACCTCTTGCCAGCCGCCACCGAACCTGCGGGTGAGAAGCTGTAGAAGGATTGCCACCGCGGCTACGGCTTGGAGGACTTTGTTACGAGCTAGGATAAGACCTTTGGTTAATTCATTTAAGATACATTTTCATCAATTGAAATTTGAAATCTAATTCCAATCTGTTCAGAACTTATGCAACAACTGACGATCAGACGATCTGTTTTAAGTCAATTAAGGTTCAAGTAAAACCAATTCAAATCAGATTTAGATCACTTGAAAGTCTATTGACAAACCACTTCAGAATCTAATTAAGCTCTTTTCCAAGTCAATTGAACTCCGATTAGAATGAATTGGAACCCAGATGAATTCGAAATCCATTTTACATCAGTGGAAAATCTAAGTGAAACCAATTCAAATCTAGTTTCAATCAATTGACAAACTGAATAGCATCAATTAAGACCTGAATCAAATCAATTGCAACCCATTTAGAGAATTTAACGCACAATCTACCAGATGAACTCAAAAACCTTCTGAAAATGCATTGGAAACTTAGTAACAAGACCAATTGAAACCCCGAGTAAAACCAAGTGGAAATCTGATCAAAACGTATCCTGGTCTAAGAGACGAAGTAGTCTCAGAGAGGGCCTCCAAGCTGTTTGTTTTAGCTAGAGTTTTAAAGCCAACGTAAGTTAAGTAAGAAAATTTACTGTTTGTAATATTTGGGCCTCAAGTTTTTTAAATTCCGGACCACAAACAATACCAGATCCTGAAGAATCCATTTCGGGTCCCCTGTGCAAAGGGGGTCCAACATTAATTTGCCGGCAGTCTCTCCACAGTGGGAAGTTGGCAGAAGTTCAGAGTCCTCCTGCTGGGCGTGCAGATGCGCAATGCCAAGTTTGCCCAGCCTGGGTGAAAATTTGCATCTCAGCTTAAAGCTACTTCCAGCTTGTATGCTTATGCCAGCGGCTCGTCAAAGCTTTGCGCTTCATCCGCAGCTGCTTGCATCGCCCGCCACTGGCTCGTAGTGCACATGTGGGTCTCAAGTCGCAAGCGCGGCCCATTTCTTCAATGGTTCCTGACTCATGGCTTGGATTCTGGCACTGGGCACATGATGGGCACAAAGTGAACGGTAGCATCACGCTGGAGGAAGAAGATGGCAAAAGAACTCTTCGCACGACTTTTGCTCGCTGTACAGGGACATGGTGGCCAAATGGTGAGGACGAGGATGCATCATCTGTGGTTATTGAATGGATGTCATCACATACCCGTGTACGCCACACCCTAACTGCCGTGGGCTCAGCACATGATGGAACTGTCAGTGTTGTCTCGGAATTCCGCGTTGTGGCGCGACATCGTCCAAATGAAGAAAGAACCGGGAGCTTGACATGGTCGGCAGACAAGCGCCCGATCAAAACACGCGGCTGGCGCGAGCAGATCGGTCGCACATGCACACAAGCACTGTGCGTGAGCTCAAGGTTGAGTTCTGCAAAGAGCTACGTCTGTCAAGAAGATGCTTCCGGCCGCGGACTCTACCAATCTCCTTGTCCCATATGTCGACGACCCCTAAACATGGCGCTCAGCGGTTGCTCCAAGACTGATGAGTTGACCGTGACATCGCCCTTTTCCTCGAAGCTGTACCAGTGCACAGAAGAGATTAGAGCAGGCGGGCCTTGTGTTTACACCACCCACTGCTCAAATTGTAGGCGGCCATTAGAGGTGTCCAAGGTTGCAGGAACAGGCCGAGGTGACGATCGATTCTTTCATCGGCCATCTGTTGGCACTTGGCTGCAGCCTCGCCTTGGGCGAATGCCTTTGCACACTTTGAGTCGCTCAAAGTTTGCGTATGCCAGCCTATTGTATGGAAACTCAGTGGAGTACATTCGTGACGCAAGGGTCTTGGGGTTTTCTCTTCGGCGATCAGCCACTCCGCATGACCTCGTGCTTTTGCACACGGATGATGTTCGGCAAGAGTACTTGGATGTGCTTGCAGACCTGTGGAGTCTGCGTTGCGTGGACAGGTTGGAAGGTGCGGACACCCTTTTCACTCCCAACAGCCGGTTCCGCGGTGTGTTCACGAAATTACAAGCCTGGACACTCACAGAGTACGATAGAGTCATTTTACTGGACCTGGACTTGTTGGTGCAGAAAAATGTTGACGACTTGTTTGAGTTGCGCCCACCAGCGGCAATGTGGGTGGCTGGCGGACAAGTCCATGGACAGCTGATCGACGCCCCTCCACCCTTCAAGGGCTTTCACCCTGTGGAGCCTTGGGGAAAAGCTGGATGCGTGAAGGGCCCAGTTGATCAGCCCGGTGTTGGTCCAGCCCTCGTGAAACAGCAGTGTGTTCTAATGAAGCAGAATACGTCTCTTCTTTCTCATTTCGCCAGCTGAGGTCAATGCAGGGGTGATACTCCTCAAGCCGGACCGCCAGGAATTCGAGCACATGAAGAAGGAAGTGGAATGTCGGGAGCATCCTGAGCACATAGTCACATCCTCACCGGAGCAGGACTACCTTACGCGTTATTTTTGGCACACACCGCACTGGACTCATATTGATGTGTCTTACAACTTCCAGGTGCACCATCTTGCTTTGAGGCTGCCCGACAGCCAGAAAGACTGCGAACGCAGGCAGGTTGATTTCGAAGATGTGCGTATCATCCATTTCTCTGCCCATCCTAAGCCCTCACAGCGTGATCCCGGTGTGTCAGTAACAGAATTTGCGGAGCAGATGATGGGACGGTATGAAGGGGTGTTGATCAACATCAAGCATGATCCTCAGCAGATTGAGCGCCGCAATAGCACTCGCAAGTTTCCAAAGCTGGAGTTGCGTACAGACCTTGACTCTGGTCACACGAAGCTGTTCGAGGAGAGCGGTGCCAAGGTAGGGACCCAGGAGAGCGATAATGTGGATGTGCAGTTCACGGAGATCACTGTGGCCCCAGATGAGTTACAGAGGTTCCAAAATTTTGTTAGAAGCTGTGTGCAGGCTTGGGCAGATGCTGAAGAGGAGTGCAAGAAATGCCACGGGTCCCCTTTAGTGCTAGAATCCTTCCCAGCAGAAGTGGGAAGCCACTTGCGGGGTATTTGTGTTCAGTGGGACCGTGCAAGGGGCTCGGGCCGCATTGCTGCAAAAGATGGCAGTAAACCGCTTTTTGTGCACCACAGTCAGGTGTTAGAGCGATCAAGCGGTGGCCGAGCAAATCTCACAGTGGGTGAGCATGTCTCCTTTACAGTGGGTCTTGATGAGAAGCAGCGGCTGACAGCCACAGCTGTAACAAAAGAGCCAGTCTTAGCCCAAAATGATGATGTCAAGGAGGATCCCCAGGCAGTGCAAGCGACACCGCAAGAGGCACAGCGGGAGACTGCTGTGCCGATCTTGCAGGAGAGAGTGTGCGGGCATTGCACATCATGGAATGCATCTAAGAGATTCGGGTTTGTTTCTTGCATGGTTGAAGGCCAGATCAAGGAGATCTTCCTGCATCACAACGATGTTTTGATGGATGCAAAGGGAGGGATCTTCTTGGTCAAGGGTCAAGTGGTATATTTCCACATTATTAAAGACCCACAGGCCAAGGGTAAGGACACGGACAGGCCAAAGGCAATCTTGGCCGTTTCCAACGAGAAAGACGAGGAGTTCGTGCGAGAGGTCCAGGAGTTTGCTAGATCAGATGCTTCTTCAAAGAGCTTCCCTCCAGGAACGCCATGGCAAAGAAAGTTGCTACACGAGATCGCTAAAGCAATGCACTTGTATTCAAGGTCTGAAGGTGAGGGGAAGGAGCGTTTCGTGCGCCTGACCAAGCAGGAAGAAGCTGGACCTTCTGGTTCTGAGATCAAGATGTCCAAGCTCCAAGCTCACATTGAGGAAATAGCACAGACACAGAGCCACAGCGACTGGCGAGTGCTTGTCAGAGAGTTGACGGGTCATGAGCGTGAGCTTCTGAGGGAGTTTTGCATGCAGCGGGGCCTGCAGCTGTGTCGGGTCGAGACTCCACAAGGTGAGCCTTGCCAGCACTTTGTCTGCAAGCAACCTGCAGCACCCTCCTGTTCAATTGAGGACACTCTTTTTTGAATGCAGACTTCCAGATACATGAAAATGCAGAGCTGGGCGAGCTTTCCCCTGAGATTCCTGCGCCATTTTGTCATGATCCACTGCATCGGGAAGAGGCAGTCTCCATTTAGCAGTTGGCATCAGTTCTGCTGACTGTCCAGACTATGTATATGTGTTTGCGTGAAATCTTGGAGGCTTGCTTTCAATAATGCCAACAAATGGCTTTCTTAGTCGCAGTTCCAACAAGTGGCTCATAGGTGAAAGAGACAGTGTCCTCACACGGGAACGGCAAGACTTTCCTCATCTCTGCTGTCTCCATAGCTTACCAAAATACATAACAATTGCAGTCTTTGTTTCCATGGTGGCAGTGAACCCTTGCCCCCTGCCATTTCACAGTATTTTCTGCCTCGGCTTCATGCTTGATTCATGATCTGCAGCTGGCAATCCCATGATGCGCTCGTGTCTCCTGGCCATCCTCGCTCTGCGCTTGACACTTGGGCTTATCGTGACTTTGCCCACAGCCTACGATGGAAAGGGATGGCACGTATCACTTCTCAAGGATAGAAGCGTCTTGGTACCTTTCGTCAAAATTACTGCTACGCGAGTGAGGGTGTTGTCGACAGTCGTGGTGCAGCGTATGAACGAAGCTTGGTGGTCCCTTTCTTGTTGAAGATGAGGATTGCGTTCAGCTTGGCCACCACAACTGTTCCAGCTCCGTCCTCGGCATCCCTTGCTGCTTTTCACATAAAGGTTCCTCTATTCACAGCCTGCTGTGATTGCTGAAGCAGACTGCTTGCGGGACTTGGGGCCAAACAGGCTCCTGAACGCAACGGGGATTGGCTGAGTAAACCTGACCTGGAAACTGCAAGAGATACACAGCACGCAGGTGGTCAGTGATGCAGTGCCCTGTGGGGTGGTAGACAGACCACCTTCCGCAGGGCCTTTACGATGTCACGAACAGGCCGGGGCCAATCTTCACTTTTTGTTTGGCTCTTAGATTTCCTGGGGATTTCTGTGTGCGTAGGGTTTGTGGTTTTCGAGTTGCTTATTGTTTTCTGGCCGAAGTCTTAGATTCTGGACAAAAACAAAGTACAGCACGACTGCTTCAAAACTTAACCAACCTCAAACCCTTGAAGTTTGTAAATCATAGAGACAGGAGGACATTTTCACCTGTGGGAAAGTACATAATCTAGAGCTTAGGCAGTTCTAAACTCAACTCTATTAAAGAGTTTCGTAGTAGAAATCCCGCAAGGATTTCTAGCCTCGTCAATCAGTCAGGCTGTTGTTCGCTTCTGGTTCGCTATTTCCTTAAGTGTTTGAATCATTGGGGAACCCTCGAAAGCGGAGCCTAGGCTCAAGCCCTCAGCCACTCAAACCCCTAAATTGTTCAACCCAGTAGAGGCCCCATTACCCGAAGGCCCTGAACACTCCACATCATCACCCAATCACGCAGCACCGCCCTTACGCGCAGTTGAGATCGGAGGAATGGATTCCAACAGTTCCTTAGTAATGATCCTGTAATGCTCCTGCTCCGCAAGCAGGCGACCACTGACTGCCCTGGCCTTTCGGAGCTGACTGCTGGCAGCTGCCCTGCCAGCTGCAACCCGGAAACCTAACAGCTCAGATTTTTGAAAACAAATTTTCGAAGGTGAGATGTCCTTTTTGGCGCTCCTTTGGCCTAGAGTCACGATGGCTTGGGATACCCAAAAGGACATGGAATTTATCAAAGAGGGGCTTTGTAGATCATTTTTCTGAGATGTGCCCAGTGAGTGCAAGCCATGTTTTTGTGGTAGTCCAGCAGATTGAGGCAGGTGTAGGGAATGCCTACCCTTGCGCAGCTCGTCCCACTAAAGCCATCAAAGTGTGTCCTCGCAGGTGGCAAATGGGAAGATAGCTTCGGTCTTTGTTCCGCCCTGCCAGCCGAGGCCCTTATGTCGCCCCACATCCCTACCTTAGTGCCTTGGCAAGCTATGTTTTGGCATTTTGGGTACTGATGGATCAGTGGTGCTTTTGCAGATGGTGGCTGACACGCAGGGCGGTAGGCGTTAGTCCTTAGTCGTTGCAGCCAGCCCAGCTCTTAGGTTGTGTTTTCGAGTGTGCTTCTGCAGCAAGCTGCTCCAGCGCCAACACCAACCGCGCTTTTCCGCGACATGCTGTGATTCAGTCCAGGGTCACAGACCAGGGTTCAGGTTCCAAACTAGGGAGGTTGGCAGGCCAGGCAGTGTCTCGAGGAACAGATAAAAGAACTGGCCGGAATTCAGCAGTCTTCCTATTGTCATATGTGCGGCACAGCATCTCACGGCAGGAATTCAGAGATTGAGACCAACATTTCCAGATCCCTCCAATCCATTCAGCTTCACAGAGGAACAACCGCACCAAGCTTTGCGAGCCTTGCTCGGTCGTGGGGTGCAAGCGTTGCGCCTCTCAGGAGAGGTCTTGCGTCTTCAGTCTGGGCTGAGCCTTGTGCACGGTGTTCGTTTTTGGCTTAAGGAATCGAATGGAATCGCGTCTGCAGATTGTGTAATTTCGCCATAGCCCGTTCCTTCGCATAGGTAAGGGATGTTCGTGTGCGGTAGATTGGAGTGCTTTCAAATTTCATGTTATTCTAGGGCTGTCAGTGGGCTGATAGTTTTTTTTTACTTCGTGGTTTCGCTTCGGGTAGAAGTCATCCTGTATGTGGAGGCGGTGCCGTGCTCATTGCAGAGCCCCGGGAAGTATGATCTTGGAAATGACATGAAATCACATTTTTGCAATTCGCTTTGTCTGGGGTTGGTGGACAGATGCGCGTGGTAAGTTGATTCACAGGACACCTGTGCGGAGTGTTTCGACAACTTTTGGCCCGAATTTGGGGGCAGAGTCTGTGCGCCACGGCTGATGACATGGCGTTTTTGGCCAGCACAAACCCTGTAAAGCCTGGTAGTCGCTGCAGATCAACTACCTAGACCTGGGCGACACAACTGACATGTCTAGAGCTGCCTTCTGCTTTTGCACAGCACACAAGGTGTATGTTTGGGATGACCGAGCGCAGAGTGGCGTCCATGCCGCTTTTGCTTTTGCCCTGCTGACAATCCTCCTTGTCTCAGCAGGACTTGCGGGAGAGAATTTCCTGATGAGCCAGCAAAGGTTCACTGCATTCTCTAACTTGTGCACGCTTCTTGCATTGACTGGGGAAATAGTTTCAGCTTAGGGCAGTGCGCGGGTCTTCTCCAGGAGTCTACGTCATAGATCGCTGCAACTGTTTTGGCCGCTGCCTTCCACAAGAGATTGAGAGCACGGTCAATGAATTGGAAGAGGACGAGGAGCTTCGGCACGCAATGAGGTGTAGACATTCGGTGGTGCTGCGCAAATGGCAGTCAGCCTCTTGACTTAGGCTTCCCAGAAAAGAATGCATGGATAATCATCAGGTGGAGTCATTTTTGTTTAGAAGAGTATTTCTTTTGATATTTTTTGCTTCTTTCCCCCTCGCCTTTCTTAAGGCCAGCCATGCTTACCACTGTTCATCGTTTTACATCATGTCATGACATGGTCATGATTCCCATGATGTTTCATCATGTTTCATCATTCCTCATCATTTTTCAGCAATTTCCATATGCCTTTCGATCATGCACTATCATGTCTCATCAAAGTCACCAACTTTCATCCCCTCCAAGTTTGCTGTAACAAAAGCACCATGTCATCAGTAAGGGAGCGTTATGCAGATCGCAGGGGGGCCTTCCCGCCTTTGTTAAGGCCATCCATGCTTGCCATTGTCATCGTTTTAAACCTCATTTTTTTCCATGATCCCGACCCCCTATCTTTTTTTGGTGAGGCCATCCAAGCTTTACAGCTAACGCAAAAGCATCATATCAGCAGTAAGGGCGAGTTATTGCAAATAGGGGGAGCTGCCCCCCGCCCTCCCCAAGGCTCCCCCCCGCGCGCCCCCCCTCCCCCCGGCGGTTTTTAAGGTACTTAGCTTAGCTAAACCACAAGATTCGAATAGCAGGCAGAGCCACGGCACGGCAGGCATGAAAGACCCAGCCTTACGGACGCGTTTTAAGCCCTTCCTTCTGGTCCCCCTCACCCCCCCTTCCCCTTCCCTTCCCCCTCCTGCCCTTCCCTTCCCCCCCCCCTTCCCCCTTTTCCTCCCCTTCCCCAATTCATTGTTGGGTTTTGATTACTAGGTGTGTTGCCCGGCACCCGCAGCGTGCTCTTCCGTCCCGCAAACATTCTGGACGCGCTCATGTTGGCTTAAAAATCGCGCTCTCGCTCGAGACATCCTCAAAAAATCGGCGTTTTTTTGAAAATGAAATTTAAACAGGAGACATCGCCAGTAAAGTAGTCTTGCTAGGGGGGGTCTGTTCCGGTTTGGTCGCGGTGCCGATTTTCAAAAATCGCGCTCTCGCTCAAGGCATCCTCAAAAATCGCGTATTTCGGATTTTATAAAACATCAAAATTGTTGCTCCCGCACGAGACAATTCGATTTTTTTGAGCCGTCGAGCATCATCGTTTTTATGAAAAATCGCGCTCTCGCTCGAGACGTCTTCAAAATTTCGTCGAGTTATCTTCGTTCAAATCGATCAAAACTGCGCTCCCGTGGGGAGCATTCGTGAACATTTTGATGATTTATCTTCAAAAATCGCGCTCCCGCTCGAGACATCCTCAAAATTTCGTCGATTTATCTTCTCAAGAGGGAGGTTCTTTGGAGAGTGATTTGGTATGGGATTCGTCGGATTCGTCGATCGAATTTTGGTCGTTTAAGGAACGATTTCTATACCAATTCTATATCAGACTGATCCGCTCAAGGTCGTCCTCTTTCGACGAAAATCGCGCTCCCGTGCGGAGCATCCTGAACAATTTTGAAGAAAATCGCGTTCCCGTGCGAAGCATCCTCAAAATTTTGAGAAAAATGGCGCTCCCGTGCGGAGCATGCATGCTCAACATTTTGACAAAAATCGCGCTCCCGTGCGGAGCATCCTGGACAATTTTGAAGAAATTCGCGTTCCCGTGCGAAGCATCCTCAAAATTTTGAGAAAAATGGCGCT